TATGCAATGTCGTAATATAGAACCAAGATATAAAATTTTAAAGGATTTATTGGATAAGTATAAAACATCATCAAAACAGATTTATCAGATCTAGAGAGGGAAGAATCTAATAGAGTTGCCTGGGATCAATCTATACTCTACTTACAAGATAATAACTCTAATCAAAATACTAAGTATCTTGATAGTAGCTCCAGTAATATATCCAATTCTACTATAAATGCCTTTCATATAGAATCTCAACCTTTAGACCCAAAGGGCCATGGCTTTACTATAGATAATGTATCAGTAGACCCAACACAATCAAGTAAGCGAACAAAAACAAAGAGATCCAAATCTGTTCGAGTATTAAACCCACCTGTTATTTCTAATGACTCAACAGAAAAAATAGATATAGAAACAGTTGCTGATTTTAGATATGCAGTAGAAGAAGGTAGGGGGAATTTAGCAAAAACAGAGTATAGGATCGATTAAATATAGACTCTAAACTTTATCTATTCTCTCTATTTTTACTGGATAACCCAATATAATGTTGAGTAAGGGCATTGAGATTGACAATAATTTTAGTTGCATCATACATTTCTTTCATATACCTCTTGCAATTCACATATTTTTTTTAAAGTCAAGTTGTCAGAATCTAAGCTAAAACCCGCAGAAGCATGCTATTCCTCTAATGGTATAATGTTATCTTTATCACTATCTACTTTCTGTGAAATTTGATCAGATACCAAAGGCTTAGATGTAATAGTATCCTCGTTATGTGAGCCATCTTGAGTTGCAGTAGCATAATTTACTTCGAGCTTATTCTTTACCTTATGCATAGTTACAGGGAAAATGTGATCTTTTCCATTGTGATAAATCTTCATTTTATCATTATTCCAATCAATAACACATTCATATTTCTTGAGAAGTTGGTTTGAAATATTAACATTGGCTTGGAATATTTCACGACTACAAAATTCTCATATATAGTACAATCAGGAGTTAGTATTATTGGTAAATTACGAACGATGCCAATAGACTCAATTGGAACAGTAGCAATACCACTAAGGTCATACTTCACAGATCTATCAATTTTTCTATTTATACGCTTAACAATATCTTCTGTTACGATCTCAGTTTCAGCCCCACTATCAAGTATCATTGCTAGGATTTTTAAACGCTTAATTTTGCATGGTATAGTCGCAATACCTGTATCGGGTTCTTTCTGACAAACAAAATCAATTTCCATAGGGTCATCCAAAGTCTCATCTTCATCTGAATTGGATATCTCTGGAGCTGGTTCTCAATAATTATTATCTTGAATATGGTATGATTTTTATTATTAAAATTGAGCTCCTGCAATAATGAAGGTAAAATATCTTTAAGTTCACTTTGGATAATTTTATGAATAGTTTGTTCTAAAACTGTTTGCTTACTCCTACCCTCTTGTGAGACTTAGGTTCCTTATCAATCTTGTGAGATTTGGATATCTTCTTAGATAATGATTTGCTCGAACTACTCTTCTGGGTTACTTTTTTTTTGCCTTGGTAATGTTAACATTCATACTCTCAGTTTCAGAGAAGGTGTTATCAGAATCAGACCCAGAATCAGAATTATTATCAGAAGAGTTAGAATTTGAATCAGAACCAAAATTATTGATAGCCATATTAACCTTACCTTTTTTATTCTTGCTAGATCTCTTGAAGTTAGATTTTTTCTTTCTAGGGCACTTGTGAGAATTGTGTCCAGTTCTATTACAATTCGAATAATAGTGTTTGGATGATTTGATAACAGCATGAACTCCTGCCTCAAAACCTTTTGATAAAGCCTTATTTATTGATAACTTACCTATACGATCAGCCAGTTCTTTGTCAGAGTCGACTTCAATATTTTTCTTTGATTGTACTGGCTTTGCCGAAAACATATCTGATACTTTTTTATAAAGATCATTAGCTAAAGATTCTATAATTTGGCTGGCTAAAGGAGTTGGGTTTATAAGATCACAATGAGTAAATTTTTCAAAATTTATGCCATACCTATCTGGCGGTCTTTCTGATATATATTTATCTGGTACTCTAAGGTAGTCACTGAAATCGGGTTGCTTTTGCTGAGACTGTAAAGCTTGTGTTTTCTGGAGCTGTGAAGACTGAATAAAAGTAGTTGGTACTAAAGCTAATTGTAATTTTATCATACTATCTAGTTCAGCTCAAGATATACCACTACTATTAGAATGTAATTTATTTTGTATATTAACAGCTGAAGTTTGAGAGATTTGGTCAGAAATGGAGCCTTTATACAAATTTGAAGGATATTCTAACCACATATTTTTAAGTTCTGTAAAAAATGCATTAATGCTAGCAGGATTGGCAATTTTTATCCAAGTATAAAGCTCTCCTGATAAATGATCTTTAAGAAGTTCTAAAATATTGGCATCAGCATCAGCAACTCCTAATAAAAAAGGTCATATCCTAGCTTCATATGATTCTGGATTATCAAATGGTAAGAATTTTTTTTGTGCTAATCTTTGAGTAGCAACTTGTTGTATACCAACTATTTCTGTTTGATATTTATGATGCAACCAAACAATGAAACGGGCTAGGGTATCAATATTATTACCAGTGTGTTGAGTGGGTATATTTGTATATTTTCTAGCCATCTTGCTTTTTAAAATATCTGCTCGAAGCGGATTATCAAAGGCGGCTATCGTAATCGATGATAAAGTTAATATTTGATTAATTCTTTAATACCATTCATCTGGTGGAATTTGTCTACTATAATTTGGAATCTCTGCAATTAATGGTGCAATACTGGTTAAGTCTCCTGAAACTGTAGCCATATTTGGTGGATTATTATGTAACAATAAAATTTGTGCTTGTAAATTATTTATTAATTGCTCAGAATTTCATGTCTGAGCTTTCTACTTACACCACTTGTTGTCTAGTTAAATATCGGCAAGTAATAGATCATTTTCTAGAGTCTTGCATTTATTTTTCTACTTATTGTATCGATTTGTTGTAAGATTTAAGAGATGTATAGTAATTGCTCCATCCGTCTTATATTCTTGTAGTTGCTGTTGGATTTGTCTAGTCTTGAATCCCAATGCAAATTTTTTTAGAAGTAATTTTGATATTTGTTTTTTTTGCATACAGATTGTAATTTGATCATCAAGTTCTCAGGATTTAAATATACTATATTGTGTTCTGTGGGCCTCATTAGCCTGATGAAAAAGATTATAGTCATTTTGAAATGTGCTAACTGGGTTTGTGAATTAGCTAACTGGGTTTGCAAATTTGTTAGCTGGGTTTGCAAATCTGCTACTCGGTTTTTAGCATTAATTGCACAAGCATTTGCCCATGGGTATATTTCTAGTACCAATCATTTAAGCCTATTACCAGCATCAGAGAATATGTTAAGATAATTTACAATATCATTTAATATAGGTGTTATTGTAGTTGGGCTTTAAAAATACTGTCTAATATTATCAACCTCTCGCTGAATTCTATGATTCTGAATCGTAGCTTGATTTTTAGGTAAAGATAATCTGAGCGATTCTGGTTGTTGAGCCATATCTATATTATTATTGCTTTTTTTATATGAAATAAACATTTTTATTTTTTCATTAAGTTTGTCATTTTCATTCTGAAAAAATGCTAACCGCTTTTCTAAATAATCTATATAATTTTCTCGCTTTTCAGACTCTTTAAATATATTTTCTAACTGTTTTATAAGATTAGAAATTTTTAATCGCAATGGATCTAGTTCTTCATTTTGAATCAAAATTTTTTTTTCGAGGTATTTAATATAATTCTCTTTTAAATTTAGATCCCATTGTAATTTACAGAATTGATTTTTTATTATCTGCAAACTAGCTTCGAATTTTTTGATTGTTTCACTAGGTGGAGACACTATTGTATCTAATGGCATTGTACAAGCCTATAATATATCGACGCTTCTGAAAACTTTGCCAAATAATAATTTATTAATATAGTAAAATGTATCGAAAATGAACTAACCTAGTATCATAATTAGTACTGATGAGGAATTGGCCCTAGTTTGCCGGTTATTATTCTATCAACCAACAGGATATCATTCTAACTCCCAAAAATTATGAAAAGATCTTAAAGCAGAAGGGTATCAGTTTTCATATAAAAAGATATATGAGTGGCTTACAAACCAGAATGAATAGCAAAAATATGCTCCATCACCAAAAGATACTCCACAGATTAGTTATAGAAAAATTTCACGTCCAAACTGCGTATATATGTGTGATTTGTTATGCTTACAAATGATACTGTCAATAAAAAGACATACAAATAGATACTTACTGTTATAGATGTCGCATCCTGTTTTAAATAAGCTGTTCCATTGATATCAAAAAACAGTTCAGAAGTCACCAAAACATTTAAGAAAATATATGAT